GGTGAAAGCCGATCCGGCGATCCACAGCGCAAAGTTGATGTATTTCCTCAGCAACCAGCACGGATCAGATATGTGGGGCATGTTAGAACGAGCCGTTTTAGGAAGGTGTGGTTGACTCTTAACTTTTATAAAGAATATCTCTTTGGATTTGAGACTTTAGTCTTTGCAACTTTACAGATCTTCTTTATGCACCAAGAGGGTGTATCACTTCAAAGAGAAAGGAAAACTTGAAATCGCATCATATGACCCCTTTAATAGTGTTTATATCGATATCGGAATTATATCGTATCGACCGAAATTAAGAAATATATCGTGATATAAATTTTGGCCATATCATCCAGCCCTAGTATAGTATTGACAGTATCTAAATGTACAATATTGACGTTTTGACAACATCTAAAACGTAAAATATTTACGTATTAACTTTTACAGACTTAAAATTTAATCCTTTTGAATACTGAAATCGCAGCAGTAACATTTTTATTATATTGTAATCAGTTGTCATATCAATGGCATTATATTTTCAATTTCATTTATTAAACGCAGTTTACTCATTCACGTCATATGAAATGATAACATTTTGTTTGTGATTTCTGCTGCCAACTCGTTTCGCATATTAAACAAGACTACACTTTAAACTTTAAAATGAACAACAATTTTGTAATTGTTTAACTATTACCATGGCTAACAACATTTTTAAATCCCTAGTAGCTCTTTGGGCAGGCAGTTTTCAGATTTTGGTAGCCCAAATTTAATTTAACTAGCCCAAATGAAAAAGACATCAGCTGAAATTCACTACGGACTAATCAGCATGATCAAAAACTTTCGTCAAGTCAAACCTTTAGATATCAAACATATTTATTCTGTCTCTTTTTGCAAAAGATTAGTTTCAGTTAAATACCATGAACAGAAAGCAGCAGACTACATAAAAATTGGACTCATTTAAGAACTGTTCGTTTGCAAAATAGAGCTGCACAATTCTGGATAAACTGAGATTTATTTATTTATGGTTCTCTCACAACTCTGAAGAAAAAACATTAGACAACTAAAAATAACATGTAATTTATGAAGGAATGATTCAATGACTCACTCAAGATTTACTTGTTTCATTACTGGATGATTTCTGCTGTCAGAAAAACTTTTATTATTTAATATTTTATTATATTAATGTAGACGTATTAAAAATATCAAAGGAGAAATGGAATATAATTACAGTATTTTTTATGATTAAACTATAGCATTTGTGCATTTATACTGAATAAATTTAGACTACTGTTTTTCATACAAATACCTAGAAACCATACAGTTAAATTTTTACCATGGTATTGAAGTGCAATATGTGTGGTTTTAACTCTGGTTATCATGATCTAAACGTGTGCTACTATGGAAGACCAATGGTTAATTTAAATAAACCTCAAACAGTCAGAATAATTAAATTTCACCATATAAAAATGAGGTTATAATGTTTTTTTATAATAAGCATAAATAAATGTGCAATATAATTAATATTGCAGCCTGCACTGTAAACTGTGCTGAAGATACTCATCATCAAAGTCAGGAACACAAACCTGCTTCATGATTTGAAACATTAGAACATGCAGAATATAAGAAATACATTTTTATATTAAGAGATTTATTTTGTTAAGGAAAAATGACTGGAAAAGTGTAAAGAATTCAAAAAAGTTAAGTGTTTTCATGTTCTGTCCATAAAGAGTAGATTAAAACAGCAATTAACTGTCTGGTTTCTATGACTTGCACTTAGGAGCAAATTATCGTTTATCATGATAATTATCGGCATCGACTGATATGAAAACATTCTATTGTGATAATATCGCCCAGCCCTGATTGTGATTTACCATCAGTTTTCGATTAACAGACATGGGCAGTCAGGCTGTGTGTATTTCTTTCTTTCTTTTCTTTTTTTTTTCCACATACGACTTGGACAGCGAGCATTTATGTCTCTCTAATGTCTCATGTAAATTCATGTAAGAAAAGTTTTTTTTTCCCGCTGCTGGTCACTACTTTTATGGTGTTTTGTTCTTTTCTTGTGCTGTTGAGCTGTTCTTGAGCATCTGACTTTAGTATCACTATATACTAATAGTTTTTATTAATATTTTGAATGAATGTTATTTTGTTTTTATTTTAATTTTAAAGTTTTTGTATTTTGGGGGGAAGTTTTAGTATTTCTTAATACAGTTTTTGTATTGTTTTTTTTGGGGGGG